CAACGATTGATTTTGAGTTGAAGTTACTTCTAAATAAATGAAGGGGAAATTCTAGTAATACTAAGGAAGCATTCTATACTTGGTGTTGTGCAAGTATCTTGGATTATTTGTATTTATTTGTTCCTCTAGTTTGAAAGCTTTTGTTTAAGCTACTTTCCTAAATATTCCCTACCTTAACCCTAGTCCCATTACAACCAGTGGAAAGTCCTTATGATTTGTGTCATGCATGACTCTTGTAGTGGTGATTGAGAAGATATGCAAGCCTATGGTAGAGCAATTTTATAGGAATGAACTTGAGTGAAATTTATACCCATCAAACACTTGAGTGATGAGTGATATTCCTGTGAGGGCTTACTTATTTAGTTTTCTCAATTTTCAGACAGGGGTGCTATCTTATTAATTGCAGGATGCTTCAGATTGTTGTTCATGATATGTTATGAGTTTTGAGGATTTTATTTATTTACTTCGCAAATAATGTTTTTGCTTGGGGACAAGCAAATATTTTAGTGTGGGGGAATTTGATAGACATATTTTACACTCATATTTTATGTACATCTCTATAATATTTTTGCATTAGTTATTTATAATTATATAGTAATTATTTCTTTTTAGAGTTTAATAATTAATTACTTAATTAAGTGGTATAATAATATTTAGTAATAATATGTTTTGAGCCAAACAAGTCATTAGCAAATTAAACTCTTTACTTTTAATTTAATATAAATTTAAAGTATTAGTTCTTGTGTTTGGACCACTTTTGATAAGGATAATAATCAACATTTCTTTTGTTTCTTAATTCCTACAGGTCAAGCAACGTACATGAGGAATTGGTCAAGTCTTCGCCGCACCATTTGTTACATCACATGTTCCCCTTCTTACATGCCGCACTAATTTCTCAACATTTAAGTATAAATAGGCCTAGTATTGTTCTTTGTAAAGGCATCAGTTCATTCTTCCCTTCTCGATTATTCTGTAAAGCTGTTATCAATGTCCATGCATTGCTAATTTCTTTAGCTTGGTTTAGTGAATTGAAGCCCCGGAATTGATTATGCTGTAAGATTATTTATTTATTTTTATTATATAATTTTTATGCATTTGGGTATTAAATATTCTTCTAAGTTATTTGAATAGTTGTATCATTTAATTGCTAGGGAGGCCTACTAGTTATTTACTTGATATAATTATTTGCTATATTAGATAATGTTGTGCTACAAATTATTCTAATATTCAGTAGCAACTGGGTTAATTATTGACGGCTTAGTGATAATTGGACTCGGGAAGAATATTTTCCTAAATTAAATGCAACCGCTTGTGCTTGTGTTATTTAGTTTGTCGGTTTTCCTAGTTCCTATTGCTGCTATTAAATTAAATCTATAGTACTTGTCTTAGGTTATTTAGTAGTTAGGGGTAATTAAACCGCTTGTGCTTTATTTACCTACAACTAAGGGAAAACAGAAATAAAATAATTTCACGACAAATATTCAATTGCATATTAATTACTTTATTAATCAATGATCAGTGTTGAATTCTGGTGGTGGATCTTTACTAACCAAGGTTTCTTATTATAAGTGTTTTCGATATATTATTTTCATTGCTTTATTCGTTCAGTTAAATTACTTGTTTATTTAAATTCTCTTTTAATTTATCTTTATTCTCGATATATTCCAAAACCCCCTTCCTTTAATTTGAGCACATATTTTAAACTAGTTACTCCTCGTGGGATCGATCCTTACTCCCGCTACTACGTTTGTAAGGTTTTAATTTGGGAGCCTACGACAGCTCGTCACCTAACATCTGTCACAAAACAAGTACATCCAAATGTTTTTGGTGGTATAGGAAACACGGATTTTTTAGGAAAAGACACTGATAGGGTGTTGTACCATGTAAGATCAAAGGTGGCACACGATTAATCAAAAAACATGCAGTAGAAACTGTATCAGCCCAAAAGTGTTTGGGAACCTGCATTTAGAACAGGAGAGCCCGAACAGTTTCTAATAAGTACCTATTTTTTCTTTCAACAACCCCATTCTGAGATAGGGTGTCAACACGAGATGATTGATGTAAAATACCACGTCCAAGCATATAAAAGGAAAAGGGTTCAGTAAAATACTCTTTAACATTATCACTTCGCAACACATGAACATGAATATTAAATTGCGTTTATATCATATCTCAGCACAAAAAGCACAGAAATGAGAAAACAATTCAGGCTGACTTCTCATGAAATATAGACAAGTCATGCGAGAGTATTCATCAACAAAAGTAACAAAGTATTGAAACCCAGATTTAATCATAACACGACATGGACTCCAAACATCATAATGAACTAACTCAAATGGAGTATTTGCTCGTTTATTGACTCTATGACTTAAACTAACTCATTGATGTTTAGCAAACTGACAAGACTCACAATTTAAAGAAGACACCTTACTAAATTGTGGACACAACTTTTTCAACAAAGGTAAAGAAGGGTGTCACAAATGATAATGGGAGGAGTACCCATCCTGAAGCAGGCAACATTTTTTTGAATATAGGGATCAAGAATATAGAGGCCACCAGACTCATGCCCTTTACCAATAATCTGCTTTGTTGTAATATCTTAGAATATGTAGTGAGTAGGAGAAAAGGTTAGAGAACAATTCAGAGCATTAGTGATTTGACTAACAGAAATCAAATTAAAAGACAAGTTGGGAAGGCTCAAGATAGATGATAACGGGAGATCGGGAGTTGGATTAGCAGTGCCAATCCCAAGTACCCTAGAGGTGGATCCATCAGCTAGAGTGACATGGGATGTGGATGGAGATGATTGAATGATAGATAGGAGGCTAGCTAGAATTATACGTCATATGATCCGTGTCACCCGAATCAATAACCCATTTGGAAGCTGAAGAGACGAGACAAGTGTTAGGATTACCTGAGCTGGCAGCAGCTACAATTGAGGCAGATAATGAGGATTCTTGGTACATTAGGAATTTAGCATAATCATCTACAGAGATTACAATCGTTTTCTCACCATTAGCATCAAAACACGCCACATTTGCAAACCAATTTCCCTGATTTCTATTCTAAAGCTTTTGACAATCCTTAGCTTTTTCATGTGCCCGGTCTCTGACAATAATGACAAATTATCGTATTTGACCGCTGTCCATGAGGATCCCTACTGTGATAAGATGACTCCACAGACTCCCCCTTAGATTTCTAGCTTACAAGGACGCTACTCAACTAAGGAGGTTAAAGGTCTCTGTGCGTAATACTCTAAAGAACACATCATATAGGGATTTGATCTTGATCTCTTCACTTGACAATATCTGGGATTTGGCTGGTTCTAGCCGAGGATGGAGACCAGCCAAAAAACTCATGATGGCCATATGTTCTCGTTGTTTCTATTGTTCTTTTATATCTGACGTGAATTCCATTAATTCATTAAGGGTGAGACAACCCAAAATTTTCCTAAATTCTATTTGTTAAAATTCCAAAATAATTATTTTTACTCCTCCGAAAATTTTTCAAAAATAGGTTGATAAGCCTCAAAACATGCTATAGTTTCTCAGAGCTTTTCTAAGGTTTTGCATGTGTATTTTAGCCAAAAAGTCTTATATATAGAGCAAATTATCTTAAAAGCACGAAAGTATAAGGAAAGACCTTCCTAATTATATTTTATGTGTTTTTGGACATTTTAAGACACAAAACGTGGTAGAAAGGCCGAAAGAAGCTAAGCCGAAGCAAACACGCGAACGAGGACTGAACACGCCAAGGCTACGCATGAAGAAGAGAGACGGAATGGGAATTATTTCCCATTCACGCCCCTCCTCACGCCATAAGGGCTGCGCGAACGGGACATTAACGGGGCCGAGAAGCTCAAGACGCGGAAGAGTTAATTCCGGCGTGAATGAGAGGCCAAAAGGAAGCAGAATATTTAAGGTTGAAATCTCATTTTTTTTGGGGAGGGCCAACATTGTCTAGGGAGATTTTCATTAGCTAGAATCAGATTTTAGAGAGAGGTTAGTAGAGTTAGAATAGGTTTCTAGAGAGAGATTTAGATCTACATTAGCAAACACCTTGTATTGCTAGATTTTGCAAAAAAGCTTGAAGATTGAAAGCATTTGGCTAGTAGATCTTCATCAACGATTCGTATTCGGTGGATCTAAACGATTGGGGTAAAATCTACTTTGTACTTTATTGTTATATCTCTTTTTGCCCTTTGATTGTTGAGATCTTAATTAGGGATGGCAATGTGCCCCGCACACGACGGGGATCCCCGTTCCCCGCCCCGATAGAGATGGGGATGGGGAAATTTTTTGGGGAACGGGGACGGGGACGGGGAATATATGTAATTCCCCGTCGGGGACGGGGACGGGGATGGGGATACCCCTCCCCGCCCCGCCCCGTCCCCGAATAATTATATATATATATATATATATATATATATATATATATATATATATATATATATATATATATATATATATATATACACACACATAATACAATGCATTAATTAATTACTACCACTTATATTAGTTATTAGTTATACTTATACATACTGTACAGTGGTAGTATTATGTATGTATAAGTATAACTAATAACTAATATAAGTGGTAGTAATTAATTAATGCACTATACTATGTATTTATATATATTTTAAAGTAATGCTTCTTACTGATAAAAATATGGAGATGAATAGCGATTCGCTCTCTAACCAGAGATCATCGGAAGACGACGATCTCCTCGAACGGAGCACCAAGAAGCATAAACGGACAGACGACGCCTCAGGCAGCCAAGCCATGGTCACGATGGAGGTGCCGGATCCGCGGGGTGGTGTAGAGATCGTAAACGAGACACCTGTGGAGGAAATGGAAGAGGCCGGAAACGGTGTTTTTGCGCAGTTTTCATGCGAGGAGGGGGCGCGATCGGCGTCCTTGCTGCCTGCTTCGACGCAATAGCCGCAACTACCCCACCGAACATATGCCGAAAGCGTGGTTGGCCATCGAGCACAACCAATGCTCCCAGAAGTAGAACCTGAAGAACCGATCCCAGATGAGATATCTGATGATGAGAATGATGACCCCCTTTGTCCCACCATACGATTGACAAAGAAGGAAGTGGAGGAAATCAGAGCATCACGGCGAAAGACGCTCATCATCAAAGTAATGGGCAGGAGTGTGGGCTACGCCTATTTGCTGCGCCGGCACGTTACCATGTGGAAGCCGAAGGGGAGTATGGACCTAATCGCGATCGACAACGACTATTTCCTCGTGCGGTTCGGATTAGTGGATGATCTGGAGTTTGCGATGTTTGAGGGACCGTGGATGGTCCTTGATCATTACCTCCTTGTTAAACAATGGGTGCCAGATTTTGATCCATTCTCTAATCAGACGGAAAAGGTTTTAGTGTGGGTAAGGATCCCGTGTTTACCAGTTGAATACTATAACATTATATTTCTCAGGAAGCTGGGGAACAAGGTGGGCAGATCCATTCGAGTTGACCAGGCCACAAGCTTAGTCTCAAGGGGGAAGTTCGCCAGAATCTGTGTAGAAGTGGACATCACGAAGCCGCTCATATCGAAATTCAATTACAAAGGCAAGGTACGACATGTGGCTTATGAGGGGATTCATATGATATGTTTTGCATGTGGGATTTATGGCCATGCGCCAGATGCATGCCCACGAGCCTCCAAGACTGTACCAGCACAAGAACAAGCGACGGAAGGAGAGGCGAGGAAACAAGCTACCACAGCGGTGAAATCGACAGGGAACCCGACAGTGGTAGTTGGTGCCAAGCCTTTTGGATCATGGATGATAGCCCCAAGGCGCAAAGGAGGGAGACCACAAGCGAGACAGACTCATCGGAGTGCAGCTGAAGAGAACAGACGTAGTGGGGGTGCACTGGCATCCAGATTTGCTCCACTCGCGCATGAAACAGGAGAGGACGGAGTAGCACCACCGGACCATGCAGACGACATTCATGAGAATGGTGAGGGGGAAGAAAGAGAAGAGGGCAGATCACGAAGGCAGGCGACAATCAGCGATAATTCGAGAAGGCCGAATGTGATCACTTCTGAGAAGCAAATCGAGAATGAACCAATGAGGATTTCTACCGCGACAACAAAAGAGGGTGCTACATCGACATCAAAGTCGCGACGACCTACTGGCTCAACTAGCAGACGTGCAGCAGAGGAAGACGAACACATAGTTGTCCGGGGCGAGAAGGGTGGGCTGGTTATTAACTCTACAAGAGTGTACGTGGCTGACGCAGCGGGCGATGTTCCCTCGCTAGTCTGGCAGTCAACAAATGAACATCATTCCGACCCCCCGGAGCAACATGATGATGAAGGCGACGTGGTAATGGATTTGGAAGCGCTACCGGAGGGCGAAGAGAATGAGGGAAGCGGAAGGGCTCGTTGACTGGCCCTTCTGTGTATCCTTTGGTTTTTTTTCTGATATATGTTTGGCCTTCCTGGCTTTGGTTTTCTTTTTGTTCCTTCTACGTATGTTTGTCCCTTTCTTGTTGGTTTATTTATGAATTACATTTTTTGGAATTGCCAGGGTGCGGGTGGCAAGCCGTTCCGTCGCGCCCTAAACCACCTCCTAAAAAGTCACAAGTCTTGGATCCTCGGTCTCTTGGAACCGAAGGTGTTGGGGAACCATGCTAACAAGATTTGCTCCAGCCTTGGCTTCTCGGACTGGATCCGGGTGGAAGCAGTCGGTTTCAGTGGGGGCATTTGGGTGTTTTGGAAGGATCCAGTTAACATTACGGTGCTTCTTACTCACCCACAATTTATTCTGTTGCAGGTAGACCAAATTGGCCAAAATCCATGGACTCTGGCAACTGTGTACGGTAGCCCGGCGCATCATCTCCGCCGACGCCTATGGAGGGACCTCACGCAGTCAGGGAGGGGACTCCAAGGACCGTGGATGGTCGCTGGGGACTTTAACTCGGTGGTCAGTCGGGACGAAACAAATAATTATAACTCCTTTTTCCTCCCAACGAAGTTCTGACTTTGTCAACTGGATCCACTCCGAAGGGCTTATCGACTTAGGCTTTAACGGCCCCAAACTAACATGGGTGAAAAATGGTTCAAATGATGCCATCAAAGGGGCCCGCCTAGACAGGGCCATGTGCAATGTTGAATGGAAGCTTCGGTTCCCAAATGCGAACGTCACACATCTACCGCGACTCGCATCGGACCATGCCCCCCTTCTACTCCAGTTTGAGGAATCACGCAGGAATGTTAATAATGTGCCTTTTCGTTTTCAGGCTCCGTGGCTCTCTCACCCCGACTTACAGGAGACGGTGTGGCGCCTATGGCAGCAAAATCAGGACCAAGTCACAAATGTTAATAACCTAGCTGCTGGCCTAATGGAGTGGAACAGAATGGTTTTTGGAAACATTCACAAGCGCAAAAGAATTATTATGTCACGGCTCAGTGGGATTCAACGTATCCTTGCGGGCACTTTTCATAAGTGTTTGCTCAAGCTGGACAAGAAGCTTAGGGCAGAAATGGAGGATATTCTGTATCAGGAAGAATTGTTGTGGTTCTAACGGTCCCGGGAAGATTGGATCACATCGGGGGATAGGAACACAGCTTTCTACCACCTAGCTACGACTATCAGAAAATCGAGGAACACGGTACCGCGGCTGCTGGATGAGACCGGGACGTGGTTGTTGGACGACAACGGGCTTCGGGACTATGTCAAGAATTTTTATGCTGACCTTTTTTCTGTTGATGCAGGCTTAGATGATGGGAACAGCTTGGAAACCAACTTCCCTCGCCTGCAGACTTTTGAATGGGATTTTTTCAACCGACAGATCACAAAGGAAGAAGTGTATGAAGCAGTGTCTGACATGAAGCCTTTTAAAGCACCCGGAGCTGATGGCCTTCATGCAGGTTTCTACCAGCATACGTGGGACACTGTTCGGGACAGCGTCTTTAAGCTAGTCTCGGAGGCAATCCAATCGGGTAGTTTGCCGGAAGGGCTGAATGACACCCTGGTGGCGCTCATTCCTAAAGTCAAAGATCCGTATAATGTTAAGCAGTTCCGACCTATCAGTTTATGCAACGTTAGCTACAAAATCATCACCAAGACTATTACAAACAGGTTGAAAGGTATCCTACCTAACCTCGTAGGGCCGTTCCAGAGCTCTTTCGTCCCGGGACGGCAGATTTCAGACAACGTGATTATTTACCAAGAGGTGATTCACACCATGAGAACAAAACGGGGAAAGAAATGTTATATGGCTATTAACTGGACCTCGAGAAAGCCTATGACCTCTTGACTGGAATTTCATCCACAATACTCTGGAATGAGCGGGGTTTAATGCCGAATGGAGAAGAATCATCATGACTTGTATCTGTACTCCCAGTCTGTCAATTATTTGGAATGGAGAAAGGCTCGACGCTTTCAAACCAGGGAGGGGCATTCGTCAAGGGGATGCCATGTCACCAGCAATCTTCGTCCTTTGTATGGAGCGTCTAAGTCAGTTAATCGTCGCGGATGTTGAGAAGAATAGCTGGAAAGGAATCAAACTGAAAGCAACCGGGCCCACCTTGTCACATCTCTGCTTCGCCGATGACATGGTGCTGTTCACGGAGGCATCCTTTGACCAAGTTGAGGTGGTACGTCAATGTTTGAATAGATTTTGTCGTGCTTCGGGCCAAAAGATTAGTTTAAGCAAATCCCAAATCCACTTCTCAAAAAATACTAAGTCGAAGGTCGCGGAGGAGATAACTGCCCTCCTGGAGATACCGAGGACTGACGATTTGGGGAAGTACCTAGGAGTACCTACCCTGCATGGCCGGGTTACATGTAACACGTATTCTAACCTTCTTGATAGGGTTTCAGCTCGGCTTGAAGGATGGAAGTCCAAAGCCCTCTCTTTGGCTAGGAGAGTAGTGATGGCCAAAGCTGTCCTGAATGCCATTCCGGTTTACACAATGCAAACGGCGGCCCTCCCGAAAGGGGTCTATGGCGAAATCGAAAAGAGGACAAGGAATTTCATATGGGGAAACAAAATAAGTCTTGCTAACTGGGAGCTGGTTACTACACCGAAGAAAGCGGGAGGCTTGGGAATTAAAAGGTTGCATGAAATGAATATGGCCTGCATGGTCAAGTTGGGTTGGAGACTTAGAACAGAGTCCCACAGCCTTTGGGCTCATACGCTGACGACTAAATATGAGAAAGATGGTAGCTCTTCGACACGCATACCAGGCAGAAGAAACAGTTCGAATGTCTGGAATGGATCTGTGCAGCGCGGGGTTATCTAGAAGAAGATATAACACGCATTGTGCATAATGGAGAGTCTACTAAATTCTGGATGGACGCATAGCTAACCCCTAGACCTCTCTTTGAACATTTACCAGTACCTCTGAGCCTGCCGGAATTATATGCCAGAGTGGTGGACTTATGGGATGATAATAGGGGATGGAAGTGGGAACATCTAAGCCACATTCTGCCTCAGGATATCATTGAAAGGCTGGCGGGTTTTATTTTAACCGATGGTAGTAAGTGTGACACGGTGGGATGGGGGCCGGACGACAAAGGAGAGTTTTCAGTCAAATCTGCCTATAGATTGATCACAGATGATGAGAGGAACGGCACAGATGGAGTTTGGGATTATATTTGGAGCATACGTCTGCCAGCAAAAATGTGCATGTTTCTTTGGTTTGTGAAACATGGGAAGATCCTTACAAATTTTGAGCGTGCTAGACGTAGACTTACCACTAATAACTCTTGTGTTCTTTGTGCAGGGCAACGTGAAGATCTAGATCATCTCTTCCGGCGATGTCATGCAGCGCGAAGCATTTGGAATTCGACTCCAACCGGACGCAGGGCCATAGCGATGGAGAACATGGCTTGGGAGGATTGGTTCCTGCTTAATATTCAAGGGGACCAGCGTAAAGGCTTCGAGGCAGGATGGCCGGAGAGCTTTGGGATCAGGCTCTGGTGGCTGTGGCGATGGAGGAACGATGAGACGTTCCAAAATCAACATACGCCGGCAGCACGGAAAATAGAGTGGTTGGCAATGCAGGACAGTGAGATTGAGGGAGCTTTTTCAAAGCGGGGGAGAATTATAAAAGAGAAGCCGACGCGGATGGATACCCAACTTGCCTGGGCAAAGCCGCCAAACGATTTTTTTAAGCTGAATGTGGTGGGGTGTTGTAAAAGATTGGGCAAGTCGGGTTGTGGTGGGGTTTTCCGAGACAAAAATGGGACATGGCGACGGGGCTTCACATACTTCATAGGTAGATGTCCGGTGGAAGATGCGGAAGCCTGGGGTGTTCTCCAAGGTCTTCGCGTGGCCAAGGAATATGGTTTACGCAACATCATCATGGAGAGTGACTCTAAGGTTACGGTGGAGAACCTGCAGAGAGAATCAGAAGGAAGACCACAACGTAACAATATAGTTCGTCGATGCATTAGGGAGGCAACGAGCTTTGCTCAGGTGACTTATGTGCATGTGTACAGGGAGCAGAATAGAATTGCGGATCACTTGGCGTCGGAGGCTGTGGCTCATCCATCCGGATTGCGCATCTTTGAAGACCCTCCGGCAGAAGTCGCGGAGATGGTATACCACGACCGGGTTGGCGCAAGCTCGACAAGGAGGCTTTAGAGCTATTTTTGGGCATCCCCTCCTTCTTATCAAAAAAAATGTATTTATATATATATATATATATATATATATATATATATATATATATATATATATATATATATATATAACTTTGTCGCTACTGTACAGTATTGTATGTTTGTATATATAACTAATATAACTAGTATTGTATGTTTGTATATATTAGTTATATATACAAACATACAATACTGTACAGTAGCGACAAAGTTATATATATATATATATATATATATATATATATATATATATATATATATATATATATATATACTTAGTATTTTAAATTTTGAAACAGAAGTTAAATTTTTAATTTTTTTATTATTAAAATTTTCAATTATTTAACATTTTGATTAGAAGTTGACGGGGAGTGGGGAATCCCCGTCCCCGCATAATTCCCCGCGAGGACGGGGATGAGGAGTATTTTCAATTCCCCGCCGGGGACGGGGACGGGGACGGGGATGGGGACGGGGACGGAGAGTATACTCCCCGCCCCCGCCCCGCCCCGTTGCCATCCCTAATCTTAATCATGCTTGGCTAAATCTAGTGGCTAGGGTTGGGGTGTAGATTGTTGTTGTGATGATGCTTTAATTTGCTTATCTTGTGGTGTTTGATTGATTGTTGACTATGTGGATGTCTTGTTGTTGAGGATGATCTTTGTGAAATTCTTAGAGTGGAGCCCAACTCCTTGGATGGTGTTAGAAACCTAGATCTAGGCAAGAGATTGCTAGATCGGGTAGCCTTGATCCTCTTCATTTCCCCGTCTTCGATCCGA